AGTACTCGTAGTGAACACTTATCCCATAGATATTATATTCATATTGCTATAAAGAAGAAACATAATCAAACCCTCCTTCAGATCTGATGGACCTTATAAGCAATTTAAACAAAAAAAAGTTTAACAAAATTTTTTATACTTACCTAATCGTAGTTGTAAAGAGTAAAGAATAAGAGAGTAAGAAATGCAAATGCACTTAAAGCAAAGAGAAATTGCGAGGAAAAGTTGGTCTATATATATTAAATTATAATTGCTATGTAAGTACGCATCATCACTACTGTCACTACTGTAAACTTACGTAATTTTTTTTAATGTATGTGATTCATGTGATATAATCCCCTTATGAATAATTATGATCTACATAAATATTACCAAATTTGGTAAATCTTTTCCCAAATATTATTATTGTCAGTCTCTACTTTATTGCAGATTATGAATTAAGAAAGGGACCAATAAAAGATTCTTGTCTTTATTAAATGCGTTTTTATTTACAGTAGGATCAACAGGAATAGGCATAATGAATTTAGTATATATCTAATCTTTTTATACATACTGATATTATAACTATATTATTATCATATTTATATTATTATATTATTACATCTATATATTTTATGCTTCTCAAAGTAGTTATATCTATGACTAAGAATTACTGCATATTGCCATGTCATTAAGTGATTAATACAATGTAATATAGCATGGTGGACCATACAAAAATAAAATCAGACATATTCCATAATACATAGGTTTTTATGCTAGAGCTATATATACGATTATTTTATCATCCTGATATGCATCTCCTATTTACGTATTACTTATCTCATGTTTTTAAACAAAATTTAGATGGCTCTCAGACAATGCCTAGATGATTCTTAGATTTTGAAACAGCAGAGTTTGAATCTGAGTTTGAAAATTCACCTAAGTACAAGAAATGTATAAAGGTTTTGTCCGTTTAACTAATATGATATTTAATAGACATTTATTTATTATAAAATTAATAAATATAACGCTAAATATAAATTATGATTTGAGTGACGATGTATAACTTATAAAATTTTTTGTATGTTATTTTAATAGCATAGAATAAATTTTTTTGACTTGTATAATTATCGATTCCTGAAAACTTCTGAATTCTAGGAAAAGATTATATCCTTTAAAGTTTTACTAAAATACAATCATATATAAATATAGTAAAATTATGTCTTGTGAATGCAATGAGGTACTCACATCATTTTTAGAAGTATTCTTGAAATTTATACTATCAACAATATTCTTCCATTAGTATCTAGTTCAGTATCATTCTAAATAGATCATGGTCAGTACATTAATACACTTAATTTTATTGCATCAAAAAAATAATAATACCTCTCTTAGTATTGAAATATTGATCTTTTTCACAATAAGATAGATCAGATGATGACGATAAAGCTAAAGAATCATTTAAAGATTTACTATAACTCCCTTGTTTTATTTTTGAATCTTTTGATATTATCGAATTATCATTCTGATATGACTTTATGAGACAAGGCTTTTTCCAATCATCAGTTCCTTCTAAAAGAAGATTATCAATATAATTTTAAATCACTTTTTTGTCTTCTTGATTAGTGCATTATCAACAGAGATCTGATAAAATGTTAAAGGATCTTAGACACAAACTTGAATAAAAACACATCTTATAAGCAAACATGTTTTACTAGAATTCTGAATGAGTCAAGTTGAGTCGAGTTTAAAGATCAACTCTATTCAACTCATTTTTTTTTGAGTAGAGTTGAATCAAATTTATTTTATAAAATCTTTCAACTCAACTTAATTTGA